AACAAGTGTCCCTGAGCCAGGTATCCCAGCACCACAACCAAAGGATGGCATCAGAGCTTCCTCTTGTGTCACTCCAGCTATTGATTGGAATTAATTCTAGAAGAAATTCTCATTAGACCTGAAGGTACAAACGCATCATCACAGAATATGAAGTCATGCACACTTCCAGCAGTCCCAACCTAGGCCTCATTTAGCTCTTCCTTTTTAATACCAACATTGCCACTCATTTAATGTTAATGATTCATCAATGACTGGCAAGTACTCAACCTTAACTCCTTCCTAGCTAACCAAAGGCTCCAACCCAGCCTGTACCCATGGTTCAAAAGAAGTTCTTCCCACGTCCAACCCCCAGTTTTATTTTGTTGATCAACGTGCCTTCCCATCTCACACAGCTGTGTATTTTTCAAGTAGTCATAAAGCTTCCTAAGTCTGGAACATGTTCTTGATAAAACATCCCTCCCTTTCTTATCCCTCATTTTTCAAGTGTTTTAATGGTTCTATTAAATTGTAACAACAACAACAGAAGTGGCTGGAAGAGCAAAGTAGAAAAAACCTCAACACTTTATTTCATTTTGTCATTCTTCTTCAGCAGCCACCTGCAATTTTCTGAGTGTGGTAAAGGGGACAGATTGTCCCAGAGATTTTAAGAACACCAGGTAGATTATTTGGCGTGCTCAAACTTAACTTAAGGAATAAAAGCAGTAAGTGAAAATCTTCTCCAATGCCAACCACAAAATATTTACTCACTATTACCTACACTTCCATTTTTTTTTTAAATAAATCATTTTCTTTCATTATTATTCATCCTTTGTTAAGTGGACCTGCTTTCAACTCTGACTTCTTATAGCTGAAATTGAAATAGCAAAATCATGATGTAGCTACACAGGCTTATTTGTGCTTCAGCATCTTCAGGAAAAATTGCACTGAAGGTCGTATGATGGTAATAGGAATGGACCCATCCAACATAGAGTACTTTCTGACACTCAAACCACTGAGACCAGAGGGATGACCAGAGCAGTATCTCTTTATATCTGATCTATGTGCTCCAATTAAGAGTAAATCTTGGTTTATGTAGCACATGATTTTGGAAACAAGGCATGCCTTCCATATACGAGATGGAGCACTGAGGTTCATCCATATGGAGGAAGTAGTAAAAAAATGAATCATACAAGATTAATATGCTCAGTATGGGGAACACTGGGTGAAAAGCTAAACAAAGCAAGATGTATAAGGTAAAAAAAAGCACGACAAAGCCCTCTGTAACTCTCTGTGAGAAGAGAAAGAAATAGTAGTTCTTAAGAATCAGGCTTGCTTATATGGATGCATATTGAAGCAAGTGGCTTTTATGTCACTGTTTTACACAGAATGGCAGAGTTTAAACAGGTTCTGTTCATTATGAGTTTCTGAATTTCCAGTCACACCAAACAGGTCGAGATCAGGGCTTTCTTCTGCTCAGTGCTTAAACACATGCAGCATCTTTGACCCAAGCAACTCCAAATGTTTCAGAAGAAAGCACAAAAATAGGCTAAGAAAAATGACACTATGTGAATCTACAAAGCTTTTTCCAACCCTCACAACAGATGACTCTTATTTTAAAAACAACACAAAACAAAAAAAGCAACTCTGTGATCCAGTAAGATATTCATAACTTGGGCACTTCACAAAAAGTACACGGGGTTAATTTTTCTTTGCACAGTATGGATGCAAAACGTTGGGAGCCACAGCTCTGTGAACTGATAAAAAACAGAAGTGTTACTTGTGTCAGTTATGCTATAAAATAGGTTGTGGTCCTATCTATCGGATGACAGAGTGGTAACACTGCAGTCACAATTAGCACTGAGTGACAACCCTGGCCCATGCTCAAGAGATGTAAAAAAAATAAATAAATGAGCATAGCAGATCAACTCCCTGCCATCCACGTTCATGTTTCTACCAGGAAAATTAGCAGGATGCTGCGGGGAAACCTGAAGTGCACCTAAACTGAGTGAGAGCTTTAGTCCACAAAGGCCACCGTGCTTCATTTGCAGCACACTGTGCTCATGGGTGGAAGTTAGCTGAGCACGAGGAACTCTTTCTAAATAAAAATACACAATTTCAAATGTTTAGAACACTCAGCTATCTTTCTGGTAAACTGATCAGACATATGGACTATATGTTTGCTGCACGCTAAGTCCTAACATAAATAAGAAGATGAAATAGCTCTGTCAAACTGTTTTACATAAATATGCATCTATTTTGCAAACCTACATTTGCTAATAAGTCATTACAGAATTTAAGGAGTGATAGATTTTCACAAAATTTGACAGTCAGCTTTAGCTAGACTGCAGACAGCAATGCACACAGTGCAACTGATGGTGGGGAGGCGAGACGAGATGCCTGCAGGGCAGGGGAGCAGTGGGACAGCAGGAGTGATCCAGAGCAGCTGCAGCTATCCAACTTAAGTACAAAGCCTACCACTGCCACATTGAAATCAGAATAATCACCTGGACATCCCAATGCAACCCACAGAGCTGTGAACTGAGGTCAGTTTGTGTCAGAACTGCCTGCCTGGTGTGTTGTGATACAGTTTTCTTTTCAAAAGAAAATGAAGTTGATTGTATTTTCTCAGATGTTCGTCCTCTCTCTCATTTCAAAAATTTCTTCTAGCATATTTCTCCATCTTCTCTCTCTCTTTTTTTTTTTTTTTTTTTAATCTACCAAACAGTTCCTTTCCCTATAGCAGAATCACTGACTTTTTATTTACTTACTCTTTCTTTTCCTAATTCTTCCAACTTCTTATCCTCCAGTGTTTCCTCCTCTTGACTCTCTCTCATTTCTCATCCTCCCCCTTACTTTCTACAGACAGAAAGGTTCCTGCCAGGGCACACTGCTGCTCAGCACTCCCACTGCCATGCAGAACCTTTTCTTTTATATCTCACACAGAAACTGATGTTTTCTATTGAATATCTGATATGCATCTAATTAAACCATCCCACCGATTGCTACAGTAAGATTCAGAGAAGAATGCATTTGCCTACAGACTCTACTCATGCCCTACTTATTAAATATACTAATTAAATTATTTAAATATTTGTTTTATGGTTATAAAGCTACTAATACTGTTCCCTCTCTTCCTGTTTCCCCTGCTTCCCATTGAAATCAGCTGTAACCAAATTTTAAGTGGGAAACACTGCTCTGCTGTCTATGGGAGAATATTTCTATCTCTTATTTCCATAATTTCATTTAGATTTTCAGGCAGAAGTCACTTTTCCTGACTTTCCACATCAAACCTTAATGCCTATTCACCACAAGATAAGAAAATGTTATTACACCATAACTAGCTCATGCACCAACATATACTTATCCCAAGAGATAGAATCTAGGCATTAACGAACAGGTTATTACCCTATTTATTAAAAATTTATGACGTGTCCACTCCTGCACTGAACACAAACCATGGAAGAGAAGAGCTACAATAAAAAGGAAGAAGAAAACCAAAATTCAGGTTCTTGATATATTTCAACTATTTAATGTTTGCTTCCTTTTCTGTAAGTCTAAAAGGGAAACTAATTATTCACACAACTGGAAAGTATAAAATTAATCCTACAATGAAGACTGCTAAGAGGACATAAAGACCCAAATACACAAAAAATGGAAATGGATGCAAGAGTTATGCTAACAGATCTACGTGAAATTGGTTTGTTGCAAGGTCAGGAAATGCACTCTTTTCCCTCTGAACTATGTTCTTACCCTTTGGCATGTAGTTATGTCCACTGCCTCCTCCTAAACTTTTCTTATCTGTTACTATGAAACTGAAACCAAAACAATTTGATTTCTCAACCACAGATAATAATACTTCATGGAGCACCCTGATGTCAAGCATTAACACAGAAAAACTTCACAATAGCTGGCAGTACAGGGTAAATACATGCAACCCTTTTAAAACACAATCCTACCTAAAATAGCAAATGTTTTACCTTCAGATAACCATAAACTGAATTGTCTCTGTAGGAGAGGTGAGGTATTGTAGCTGAGCAGTCACTGCACTGGCTTAGGGAGCTTCAATTCAAACCTGACTCCAAAATCTCAGGTGTGGGACCTCTCTTACTTCAGTTCTGAGGATTTTGTTGCCACAACCTCATTCCTGAATGACCTTCTAATCTCATTTGAATCTCTGGACACAACTGAATAGAAGGAATCCTACTACATACTATTAGTTACATCTGCAGGATCAGCTGGAGCCTGACAACAGCAGAAACTATGCACACACAGCTGTAAAAGTTGGTTTTGGCCATGGAGCCAGTTTACATTTCACTTTTTAGGACAACCATCTCAAAATATTTCCCAGGTAAAAGAGAAACTGATAAAATTGAGACATGAGACAAAATATAACATTTGCATGAAGAAATAAGAGGAAAAAAATAACAGGAAGAACAGAAGGCTACAAGATGAGCTCAGCCCTTGGACTATGTTTCAATTATATATTTTCTTTATATTCCCTTTAACTGATACCTGTAGTTGAGTTCCATGCTTTTTTTCTTTAATACCTATGATTTTCCTGCTTCTATTTTCCATTCACTGCAAATTACCATTATGAATTAGCCTCTCTCCTTCATTTTTGTTGTAAGCTAAGCATTCCAAAAAGCTCAGGAGCACATGAGAGCACCTGCACACAACATGCACACAAGCAGTGGGATGTATGAACTTCCCTCACCTCTCAGCAATGTTAAGCTGGAACTTTGGTGCTGTTCAGTTCCACACAGCCCCAAAACATAGTTTTTTAAACAGATCCTCACTCATGCAAATATCAATTAAAACACACAAAGCCATTAAAGTAGAAGCTGAATTATTTGCTTTTGCTGATACCAAGCACTGACACCTTTAAATCAGCAATGCAGGAGACCTCAGCCATGCAACAGATGCCCGTTTCTTTTTCCCCTCTGCTTCAGACATGTTTGGTTTTTGTTTTTTTTTTTTTACCTTTCAAAAAAAAAAAATGAAGTCATAATGCAGCAACTTACTTGGGTTGGAACAAGTACTGGAGGATATGCTAGCTTGTGATGTCTGTACATCCAAAATGAAAAGAGCACAATGACTGCAATTCCCATTATAGGCACCAATGAATAAAGCAAGGTGTTGAATAGAGGTGGCTTCGGTGTGACTGGATTGGAAGTTGCTGAAGGGAATAAAAACATAAAGTACATAACTCCTTCACTGTTGGAAAAATCTATCCTCCTGATCTAAACTTCATGCAATCAGTACAACAGGCTAACAACACTTGATCAAGTAGCATACTCTAATAATTAAACAGCTGTGTACTTGAAAGGCAGCATTTTAGAAGATGTGAAGATAACCCAGATCCCTAGACTTACATACCAGCATGCCCAGCTGTTTTGTGCTTCTATGCTTGCTCTGTCTGCATTGTGTAAGAGATGTTTTTATTTTAAAAGATTGCAAGAATGCCATCACTAAATGAAGGAAAAAAGAATCAATACAGAGGTTTCATCTTCAGAATGTAAATACTAAGATATCATTAGTAAGTATTGCTGGCCAGAAATAATCTGCCAATGTATTGAGGCTCTGCTCATTTGCTGAAAGTAAAAATCCTGTAGTTGAAGACACTTAGCTAAGTATCTCAGGGAGGACTCCAGAGGAACTTCTGGGGCAAAAAAGAGCAAGGAAGAATGCCTATTACTGTGTTAGCAATACCACTGACAAAACTGACAGGAGCATCTCTTGGGTCACCAAAGATTACTTCAATCTCACAGAAATGTTATTTAATATCACAACTTCCTCTGGCTATGCGGTGCACAAGACATCTGCTGTTTTCAATCCACTTATTAACACTGATAGTCTTCTAACAAAGATTATGAGATTCTTGACCGGAAGAAGATACTCAAGAATAACCCAATAATCTTCTAGTTATTGTTTTCTTAAGACAATTTATTAAGTGTGGCTACCTGATGTGCTCTATAACTTAGGAAGAAATCCTTCTGAAATTTTTAAAGGCTACTATGTCAATCAGTCTAAAGAAATACTGCAAACATCTTTTCATGAAGAAGAGCATTCCCAGACTGGTATGTGCATATGTAGATGATGCTGCTTAGAGCCTAATAATTTATAAATGCTTACAGAAGCTTACCTGTACAATTAAAGTAAGATTTGACAGTAGAGCCAGTATATTAAAACAGCCAATTATTTCACATTATTCTTTCTTCTCACCTTTAAGGAAGAGCTGAGTGCATTTTATGAATTTAAATTTAAATTTTTTTCTTTTAGTAGCTTCTAAAATTGAAGAAAAAAACTGGTAACTTTCTAGGTTCATTATATGACTGCACACAGCCCTCTATCATTTGGGAATCAGAAACCTTCTAGCAGAAAAAACTGACTAACATTTTGGAAAGCCTCATCTCCTAAACACGCACAGTATTAGACATTTCTGAACTCTGCTATGCAGTTTCTTCATCAGTGTATTAAGACCAACTTACGCTGTGTGACCTCCATTTCTGGAAAATAGAAGAAGCGTTCATTACACATGTTGCCTTCACAACAACAGAAGAACACTTCAGGGCTGTCTTTTTTCTCTATGCAATCATTCCTATAAAAGATAATAACAAAAAACCTTATTAATCTTATGCTGTCTATTTTGCTGAAAACATTTGATAATATTTAAAATTTCAAGGGAGCTTCAGTGAGTTACCCAGAACAGCTCACTACTCAAATTACAGTGAAATGTGAGGAAGATTTGTTATTATTTTATATTGCAATAATGAAATATCGTTAATATTAAACCTGAAACAGAATGTTTTGCTATTTCTAATACAAAATTCGAGAAGAGCTGACAAAAGTACTGAAGAGCAGTTCAAGATGTGTGTTTGCATGTGCAAAAGAAACGAGCAAATGGGGAGCACTTAAATCACAGTCTCACAGAACAGGGATGCAAACACTGGAGATAAGAAGGAAGTAGAATTATTTTACTGCATTTTTAGAAAACATTGAAATTCTTTGAGTTCTCCCTCACGCATGCATTACATGTAGGCAAAGGGTTTATTTCAGTCAGGCCAGGATTTCTATTAACTAACAAGCTCAAACTACTCAAGTAAGGAGGCAAAAACAGGAGTAATGCAGAAGGCAACAACTTGACAGCAGATAGTGAGCATGAAGATCCTGCAGGGATAGTTGCAGACATTATATACTGCTAGACCTCCACAAGAGTTCCAGGTTCATCTTCAAAAACAAGGCTATTTTATAGCTCTGGCTATAAAATTAGACTGTGCTGAAATGTCCCTAACACATTCATTCTTTGATGTTCTTAATCTGCTGCTGTTTGGAGTTCATCACACCGTAACTCTCTGTTTAGTAAACTGCCAGAGATAAGGCTTAATGGATATTTAAGACAAACACAGCAGCATGCATTCTTTTGACAAGCTGCAGTTACTGAGGGCACAGACAAGGTTTTACTTTAACTGTTCCCCTCCTGCATTTTATCCCTTCTTCCAGTTTCTTTTCTTAGCTCAAAGGAGAACTTAGTGCTGAACTTTTTCAGACTGTTCAGTGATACAAGCTGCAGTAGTGGAATGCCAATGGTACAGAACCTAACTCTACTTCCAATTTGAGAAATTCTATTTCCATCCTAAAAGTTCAAAATCTAGCAGAAATAAAATCAGTCCAAAATGTAAATATTTTCACTTCTTCTGCAAATCTACAGCTAAGAAGGGGTTAAAATGAAACCAAAGTACTTTCCCATCCTGGCTTACTGTTACTACATACTAGTAGCAATAAGTAAGGTTTCTTCAGAAATTGTCCTCTGTCATCCAGCACAGCAGGATTTCAACCATGCTATGCAAGCAACCTTGCAGATGCTTTGCTGCTTCTCTCAGAAACAGAAAATCAGAAGTACTATTCAACTAAGCTTTAAGCTGTCAGTTAAAGGAAAAAACATCCCAGCATGGGGAAACTTTATCTGGTAGAAAGGACTACAATGATTCCTTCTATTCATTCAACAAACACAACAGTAAAGCTTTCTAAAATATTGCCAAAAATAATTTCCAAATTCATTTTAATACAGATATTTCACGCTTTTATTATTTTTAATTATTTCCCTTTCCAAATAGTAACTGTTTTGGACAAATAACAGTTAGTACAGTACTTCAAAGACCCACAGTACTATTTCCTAAAAGATGTAATACTATTTCTTAAAAGAGTCACGACCTTTATTCAGCCAGTAACTAACAAAGCACAAGTCCTGCTGTTAATGCTCACGGGTACTTGCTACACCATCTGTTACACTAAAATGAGTGGAATTTAAAAATATTCAGTGTCTCTTAGAACTGCTAGTGAGGTGAGCCTTTTAGCAAACAGGCAAAATGCTTTCAGATTTAAGGAAACAGACACAATGCACTGACTATCCTGCTCCAAAGACTTTGGAAAGGTGAACTGTAAAATTCCAAATTCTGTTTTTAGTAACTCTATTTGGACTGTTTGACAGTAAGTTGCTAGAAAAAAAAGTCTATTGGCCTAAATATGTAAAAATTAAACACAAGTTTTAGTATGTAGTAACTGAATGAAAGTAGCACATGCTATTCTGTAAATACCATAAACTGACTCAGGTGAAGGTGGGTCCATACAGTTAAGTGAGGAAAAAATCCCACATGTCTTTGGACAAATGTATAAGTGCAATTATTTCCAGGCTACCATACTGATCTTTTGTCTCAGTTACCAATTGCAGAAGAGAGGTTGTAATAATTACAGACAAGCAATACAGTATAAACTTAGAAATAAAGCTTACAAGAAAACTTACCTGTCGTAACAGTTGATGTCGTCTAGCCAGCAACCTTGTTTCACAATTTCAATTGATCCAGAAATATTCTTCCATGTAGCAAAACAGTGTCGTCTTTTATCTTTATCTCCATAACAGGGTTCAATGCCACTGCGATTTGTTTTATCTTTCTCCCAATTAGCGTTGTAGTAGATGCACTCTTGTGTTTCTGATCTGCCAAGAATGGCACCTTCAAGGTAAGAAAAGCACACCATGGTTAGCAGCACTCTGAAGAACAAGTTGGACACCAACAGTCAAACCCAGGCTGTACTGACAGATCACACAATGCTTGCATCAGTACAGCTTCTACCCTTTCCCCTTTCCCCTTCACCCTCTTTGTTTTTTAATCAAAGAAAGAAAGCACTGAACGCTCGCATGCATTCCAGGTCAGTTTTGAAACTGAAATCACAGCCCTTCTGTTAACTCAAACGCCAACTTGGACACCTTATCAAGATTTGAAGAAAAAGGACAAGTTATGGCAATATCTTACCCTGAACAGCAAGAGAACAGAAATCTTAAAATACCAAACATTAGAAGTTGAGTTAGTTTAGCCAAAGAATATTAGCTAACAGAATTTGCCAAAAAGCATTTTTCCCCCTCCTATGTTGCTACACCTGCCCAAAAATCTGCTTGTAAATCTTAGAAACTTAAACTCAACTGATCATTTAATGGTTTGGATGCATCAAAAACACAATGCCAAAGCAGCATCTCTTCAGCCACTCCAATTTACAAAGCAGACAATGGCAATTGTGTCCAACAGGTATAAGGCAACGATCCCTCACCTCCTAGGGCACAGTGGATGCCCTGCTGTGGTCCCACCTAGAGAACCAGCTGCAAGATGACAGCCACTGGAGCTTTGCCACATCTCCACAGCCCAGTGCCCAACTTCCCCTGTGCCCAGGGCCAGCCACAAAGGCGGCATGCAGGCTCCAGGCATGAGAGCCAAGTGGTGCTTGGAGGGCAGGGCACTGAGCAGCCTGTACTGAAGAAGCTGATGCACTGTATCAGACTAGCAGACCTGCTAGTTGTTATGTGGTTATTTCTTTCCTGCCATCCCGCTATTCTTAAAAACAAAATTTTCAGCAATTCTGATTTGTCTTTTAAATTACTGGTATAAATGATCCATCAATGCCTACCAATGGCCAACCACAAAAATCAACCAGCATTATCAGACTGAGACACTGTGTTTGGAGCTAACTTGAGAGTTTTGATGTGATGGGAAGTATCAATCTGGATTCTGCAGATCTGGGCTATTAGGACATGAGACCGTTCCTCAAACCCCAGACAGCAGAGCTCACAGTTCTCAGTTTCAAAAACATTTCCAGCGGATACTGTGAGGAATGGTTTGCACGCATCCAAGAGCGTGATGCACTTAGCAGAAGGAAAGAACACCTGGCTTTTCCTTCTGTTTTTGTCTTGCAAACACTGCCAAGAAGGTGTCATCAATCTTCATCCAAGCTTCATCATTTAATATATTAAAAAAACATGGTAAAACAGAGAGAAGAAAACTAGGATTGGTCAGAAGTACGACAACGCATGTTCAGTCTGCCTGTGCACCAAGCCGATAGATTTAAGAGACACTACTGAAGGTGAGATGTTAACAAGAAAATGTTTTCAGTAACAGTGCCAGCCAGGTTCCCACCTATTTCTCTGTATTACTCAGTACCTAATATACATTTATAATCTCGATACACTACTCATGCTGTATCCATACCCATGCTCCTTTCTCCTGTCCCAGCAGACCCCGTACAGCCATCAGCAGGGCAGCTCTAGCCCTGTCCTAATGGGACCAAATCTTTGGCATCCAGGCACTCAGCAGCACCCCTAGGGGTGGGGGTGGCCAGCACACTGCTGCAGGCACCCATCGAGCTAGCAGGAATGGAAATGTGAGCAAGCACAGCCTGCTGTACGGGCACCAAAGACCACATCTCGCAGGGCAGCAGGGACTGCTTCCTGCTGAGCACTGCAGCAGCACCCTCAGAACACAGCAGTGGGCATCAGAGCAGGCTGACAATGTTGGCCACCCTGCATTGCCACTTCCAGAAACTTTTGACTTTGACGCATTCCCAAAATAGGCAGAGGATGCTGCTTATGCTTCTTGGGAAAGAGCCTGGATGTTCAACGGGAGAGACGCGTTAGCCAGCTGGTAACACTGCGAGATGCAGCATGTTAACTATTACATTCTTTTGTGTTGCAATGGCCTGACCTTTACAACTCCCAGCTATGGCAAGAAACAGATGAGGCAACAGATTGAACAATTTGGTTCTGTCAGTGCAATAAAGCAGAAGTCCTGGATGTATCTCATACGTGCCATTCCTTTTCTCCCGTTGCCAAGCCTTGCTTTGAAGGACCACGGACAAGCTGAATTTGTGAAATTTGAAACTACAATAAAATTAAATTTGCACAAATAGTTTTCTCACACACATTTTCTCTACACTCAGGTTTTCCTATTTGTCAATGCTGTGCATCAGCTCCATCTAACTGGGCTGTTGGCAAAGCACTACTTTAGGGACCCTGGAGCTGACCGGAGCACCCAGCTGTGATAATACCTTCTCTGGTGGCTGCGAGGCCATTTGGGATAGCTCTGGCCAGGCTGAAGTGACGTGCGGATGTACCAGGACAGTCCTGACGCAGCTTTCACAGTAGAGAAGCAGGACCAAGGTGAAAGCAAGGAGAGAGGAAACAGGGACATTGCACAAGGAAGCAGCCCTGAGCCTACTGCGCACAGAAAGCATCAGCTTGCAACCAGGCAGCCCCTTCCCAAAACTGTTGGAGGAATGTGGCAGCTGGAGCTTACAACAAATACACATCTATTTGGGTTCCAATTTAGGCAGAATATGCCCCTAATGAAACTCCTATTACCATTCTGAGTGTTGAAAAATTGTTTTCTCCAGAAATTGTCAGGTCCTTGGGAAACCTATTACTGAATCTCAAAATGCAAAACGCTGCTGCTGAAAGGAGCCACGAGCAGAGCTCCAGGATAATCTCAAGAACTCATGCTCTTATGAACCTAAGGTTTGAAAGCTTGTGAGAAGAAAACATGTTAAAAAAAAAGGCAAGAATACACAGGTATATAACAGTTTGGTTTCAGCATGTTGGCACAGATAATATTTAATCTATTCTGTGACACTGCAGGTTGCGTGCTGCTGTATCACTAGGCATTTGTGTTCAAATGACAGCTGCAATAGAAAAAAGAACCAACATATGCCAGTGAACTTCTGAACTGCTGTTAATACAGGATGCACTGTAATTGTCAGCAGAACAGAAAACAACTTTATCAGAGCTGTTAGGAGCAGTCTGGAAAACCTCACCTTTGTAGGGATTTGAAGGACTGGCTTCCATTTTTTGAAGCAGGACTACATGAATTGCTGAAAAAAAACATCTTGCCTATTTGTGGATAGAACCGTGCTCTTTTTCCATCCAGCATTTTTCTGAGATGCACTTACTCAAGCCCAAGATGCAAATGGCAAAAGTGAAACATGGAAAAGGATCCCGTCTGTCTTTCCCAGCTGTACAACCTACCCCAACAAGTCCATCACACTTCAGTGGTGCTTGATGCTACTACAAGCACAAGGACAGAAATGGTAAGGGTTTGCAGGCAGGAGTGCTCATCGGATAGGTAAGGACTTTCTTGGGGCTGTTCACTAGAAAATCCGCTATATGAAAAATGATAGGGTTAAGCTTGTTCTGGTACCATTCTACTTATTGCAGGAGGATTATTTACACTGTGTGATATTTGGGGTGCATCTGAACTCAAGCATGGGCAGGGAGATCCACAAATTCATAAGGAACTAATGTATTAGTATGTCGGATCAGCAGAAGCACTGGACACTTGAGACAGAACACAACAGGCCACCCCCATTCATTACAATACGTGAACCATAACACTGCTCTAGGCAAGTAAGAAAAAGGTCAGAAAATGTAGTATAGCTACAGATAGCACCTGAAAAGCTTCACTTAAAGCACAGACACCTTTTTCAAGTACTTATCCACATATATTATTCTAGTTGTTTCTACAGTGATCTCATATACACCCTCTAGACCCACAAATATATCTGGGAACAGACTACAAAAATACACAACAAAGGGGTAGCTTTGATGTTTCCACAACCAGGAAGCAAGTTTTTATCTTTCTATATTTTTTTCTGATAACACCCAAGGGAATGTTTCTCAAAGGAAAAATAAAGAGTTTATTTTTAATCTAATAAAGCAAACTGAGTTACAACACAAAGGATCTGCTCTATCCTCTTTATGCATGATAAGATGCCTCAAAACATATTTTGTTGAGCTTTGGACAAGTGTTAGTCCTATTACCGTTGTTCTCAATGCTTTCAGGTCAGACTAGGACTGTAATTCCTCTAAACTGTGCCAAAGTACATTCATTAAATCCATACATGGCAGCAATTAACCTAAGCAGTGCAAGAATCAGGGAAAAGATAAACAAGTCAGTAAAGTAACAAATCACCCGACCTGCTGCCACACTGCCTTATAGAGGAGATGTTCTACCTTCTCAGATTAGAATTTCTCCTTAATCTTCTCCTTTTTAGCACAGTCTACCAAATCAGCATTGTAGTGAATCAGAAGGTTACTGGGGAAGAATGCAGAAATGCCACTAAAGTGTTCCATCTAAAGAGCTTTCAAAAGCCTTACTAGAGGATTCTTTTCCTAGGACAAAACTTACAAATAGAATAATGACTTTGCAACTGAGGATTTACAGATACTAACACAGATAATTTTTAATAAGTTAGTTGCCATAATCGCTCTAGATTATTTTATATATTATTTTACATTAAAGAAATAGAAGTTTGCAAAAGATGTATTAATAGTGAGTGTGAATGCAGGCTCCACTACAGCTTCTGGAGCGAGGCAGCTCAACACTTGAATCAATGGAGAGCTTCTACAAGAGCAGCACAAAATAGAGGTGCTTCTTAGTTCAGGAACAAAGGGCTGGCACCACACACAGTGCTCCATTTCTCTCCTCACTGGCATGGATGCAAAGGCTGCAGCTCTGGTGCTGGAGGTGCAGCTGGACCACTCAGCAGCTTTGTTCTGCCATTAAGCAGTGGGTGCTTGATGCCTCAGCACGAGGTGAGCAGCAGAACCACAGCAGAACCACGTGCTGCAGGAAGGCTGCATGGCTCCAGCTGTCACCATTTCTCTTCAGGGTGCAACAATGGGCCAAAACACCCT